CACGAAAGGCCGACCCAACACCAGGGGACCCGGTCCAAAGACGGGTCGGTGAAACATCTGGCCGCGAGACACGCGGCTGGAGGTTCAGCTAGTGCGCGGCGTAGCGAAGCGCGTAGGGCCACAGAAAATGGGGCGCACGTGCATGGATCATGGACGTGCGGGCGATGTCCATGACCAAGCCAATGCGGCGCTCAGCAACCCCATTCTGCTGTGGGGACTCCGGCAGCGTCCAGGACTGTTTGATGCCCTGCTCGCCGCAGAACCCGGCAAGGACGCCGGAGCGAAACTCACCCCCACGGTCGGAGTAGAGACAACGGACATGACTACCACGAGTGCCCTTAGTGGCCAGAAGCCACCGGATCAGCGTAGAAGTCACATCGGACTTCTTCGCGAGAGGAAACACCGTGGTGTACCTGGAGTAGTCGTCAACGACCACTAGAAAGTAGCACTCCCTCTCAGGTCCCAGCGTAGGGGCAGGGCCCCAGACGTCCAAGTGGAGAGTCTGGAAGGGAGCAGTGGCCGGACGAAGGGAGGAGGAGTGCGGAGTGGCGCGCAGGCGGCCAACGACGCAAGGAGTGCAAGGTGGAGCAAGCGAGGGAGGGAGCGACGGAAAGACGTGCGGGAGACCTGAGACAAGACTGTGACTAGCCATGCTGCGGAGGCGGGGGATCGACGGGTGACAATGACAGTGGTGCCACAAGACGGTCGGGTGGGCGAGAGATCGACAGGAGCAAGATGCAGCAACCTGACCAGACGCAGCAACCTGACTAGACACAGCAACCGGAGGGGACGCAGTAACCTGACCGGACTCTGCTACCTGGGGGGACGCAGTCACCTGACCGGACTCTGCTACATGGGAGGACGTAGTGTGCAGAACAAAGAGACATGAGTGGGGCTCCCTGGTGAACGTGGCAAGAAGTGCCCCGGTGGAAGCGCCAGTACAGATCGCCGTCCTCCCGTACGTAGGAAAAGTGACTGTGATCCCACGGTCCTGAATGTATCCAACACCCACCAAGTTCCGAGAGAACGAGGGGGTGTAGAGACCAGTGAGGGAACCAGAAGGGACAGCCGGGCACGGGAGAGTGGTCGAGCTGCGAGCGACTGCTGGTCCTGAACTAGGATCAGCCAGGGCAGCTGGGACTGGAGCCGAAAGAGGTGTGACATTGGTGTGGTCGCGGAAGAAGCACTGCGACGCGCCTGAGTCCAGCGTGAAGGAGAGCGACGCGACAGCAGTCGTCACGGCTGGACTAGTGACTACACAAGCACCTACACTAAAAGCACAAGTACCTACACTAGCAACAGGCAAAGAGCCTAAGCTGGGTACACGCAAGCCAAGAGACCCATACGTGACAGAATAAACAGCATCCATAGACATATCAAACACATGGTAACCAGTACGAGACAGACCGGGCCAGATCGGTGGCCTCGACTGAGACCCAAAACGCTCACGGTAAAGGTCGTCGAGGCGACTATAGCAGCGGTGTGCAGAGTGGTCAGGACGCCAGCAGGTAGTGCCAGCACCAGGGCCAGTCAGGATCCGGTACTGGTAGGGGCCGACGTCGCGACCACCGCGACGAGCCCCCCAGCTGGCTGGGCCGCTGCTGCAGCCAACGCTACCCGAACCACCAGCCCCCCACGGCTGCTGAGGGCGCCACTGCTGCTGAGGGCGCCACTGCTGCCGAGGGCGCCACTGCTGCCGAGGGTGCCACTGGTGCTGAGGGCGCCACTGCTGCTGAGGTTCCCATTGTTGAACATCCGCTGCTAGAACAGCTAGGAGCGCCCGGTGAAACTAGGCGAGGAACGGCCGGAGCACGGAGCAAACTGAGCTAGAAACGACTCGAGCAGGAACGGCTGGTGTGAGACACGGCCGGAGCTAGAAACGGAAGGCTAGAAACTACGGGCTCGAGGAGTGGCTGGAGCGAGGAGCGAGAACAACTAGGAGAGCCAGGTGAAACTAGGCGAGGAACGGCCGGAGCACGGAGCGAGAACAACCAGGAGCGCCAAAGGTACACTAGGACTAGGAGTAGCGGCCTCCAGCCGCGGCGAAACGGTGAACCCAGTGAAGGAACGGTAGGGAACGGGAAAAACGACGGTGAGAAAACCCGAGAACGGCCTGCTACGGGCCGTGGCGCGCTAAAGGTGCCAGCCGCTGCGAGAGGTGCCAGTGGGCGGCTAGAAGGAGGTGTGGGCGGCTAGGAGGAGGTGTGGGCGGCTGGGAGGAGGTGTGGGCGGCTAGGAGGAGGTGTGGGCGGCTAGGAGGAGGTGTGGGCGGCTAGGAGGAGGTGTGGGCGGCTAGGAGGAGGTGTGGGCGGCTAGGAGGAGGTGTGGGCGGCTAGGAGGAGGTGTGGGCGGCTAGGAGGAGGTGTGGGCGGCTAGGAGGAGGTGTGGGTGGTTAGGAGAAGGTGTGGGCGGCTAGGAGGAGGCGTGGGCGGTTAGGAGGAGGTGTGGGCGGCTAGGAAGGTACGTGAGGTGCTGGGGCGCGCATGTCTGTCCAGGGGCGCGCGTTCCTGGCCAGGGGCGCGCGCTGCTATGCCCGGGTGGCGCGCGCTGCTCTGCTAGGGCGCGCGCTGCCCTGTACGTTGGCGCGCGCTGCACTGCAGGGGCGCGCGTTGCTCTGCACGGGCGACACGACGGGCTGCGGCAAGGCGCACGGGCGACGCGACGGGCTGGGGCAGGACGCACGGGCGACGCAACGGGCTGGGGCAGGGCGCACGGGCTACGCGACGGGCTAGGGCAGGGCGCACGGGCGACGCGACGGGCTAGGGCAGGGCGCACGGGCTACGCGACGGGCTGGGGCAGGGCGCACGCGCGAAGCTACGGGCTGGGGCAGGGCGCACGCTAGGCTAGGGCGCGGGCTCGGCGCGGGCTGAGCGTGGGCTCGCGCTAGGTTAGGTCGCGGGCTCTAGGGTCGCGCGGAAACGGGCTAGGAAGGAGGGCGGAACCTAGGGCGTGAGGCGCCACGGACGGAGCGAGCTAGGCTAGGCGAGGCGAGGGAACGAACCTACGGGACGACGGAGCGACCACGGAGCGACGGAGCGGCCTTAGGCTAGGCTAGGTTAGGAGCGTACCCACTCATGATACCATCTCAGAAGTAGAAGCAACGGAATGGTGTGACTAGGAAAGCAAGGCAGTACAAATATGAAACCCTGACTGAGTTGTACTCACTAAGGAGCACCTCACTGCAGCCTATAACAAACAATAACATTTGACAGTTTGAAACTCGTGTAACATGATGCTTGTTTTTTTCTATGTTGCAGTGCTATATTTTTTTTTCCGTTTAATAATGGCCCAATGAAATTCCTGAAACGTGTGAAGAAATTTTGGTGAGAGACTGACCTCTTTGCTGACAATGCACCACCAATGGTAGCAAGTCAATATTTGTCAATGAGGTTGTTTCTACTTTCACTTTCATACAGTACTTTGATACGTCATTTTCGACTATCCACAACTTGTACGCGTTTGCATCTCAGTGGCTGCTCCTGGCTCCCCCATCCCACACCCACACGCTTTGTGGGATTGTCGCTCCCACACTCCAATGCATCCACTTAGCAAATCACCTGGGCAGCTGTACTCAGCGCGGCTCGGCGGAATGCTGTGACTCTCCACAGGCTCACCTATCCGCATTCTGAACCGCACGGGAAACCTTCTCACAACGTTCAACCCCGAAAGTCATTCTGAAATGCAGAAGCGACAGCTGCACCACAGCAATCGTGACTCAGGACGCGTCAACTCCCCCTAATTTCGGCGAACGATCGTGCGATCCCGATCTTCCGCCGTACTGAAAACCTGTTACTAGCATCCCAGAATCTCTAAACCATTTTTAACCCCGTAATCAAACGACCCTGCGCAGGATCAATCGCGCAAATGTGGTGGGAGTTGACGCGTCCTCAAAACCTTCCCAGCTACTACGTATATTACTGGGGAACTCGATACCTAAGCTATTACCTTTTTATTGATTCTTCGTTTCTCGGCATCTCTGGTAGTTCGCAGTATTCCCAGTTCGTCCCTCAGCTCTTACTCTAAGGCGCATTCCACTGACGAAGTTAAACTCCCATCTCCGTAAACCGCATTCCTCTGACGAAGTTAAACTTATTTCGTGACCTTCACTGACAGCTTTCTTCCCCATGGCTCACTGGAAGCGAGCAACTCTCTGCCTCCTCCTCGTCCTCGCGCTCTGCACGAGCGGCGCTCTCGCGGCGAAGAAGAAACGGTCGAAATCGTCGAGCGCCGCCATTAAGATGCCGAGCATTGACAAGCTGCAGTTCGACATGGACGAGGCGAACAAGCGAGTGGCAGAGGCCGTTGGCGAAATGGACGAGGCGAAGAAAATCGTCGACGAAGCCATGCATGCGAAGAGACAGGCGGACCAGGAGGTGCGGAGACAGAATGAGCGAATGGCGGAAGCGATTGCGGAAGCGGAAAGGGCAGAGGCGGAAGCCAGAGCGGCTGGATACGTTTTTTAGGGCAAAGCGCTGAGAGGTGCGTGCGGACGTATCCAAGCCTCTCGCCGCTCAGCCTCGCGCGGCAAGATTCGTGTGACACGTCACGTCTCCCATGGCGCAGGCACCTGCATTTTGCATCGCTTTTTGGTATACGGTATCCGTTGGGGCATGTCCCATGGAGGTGGGGAAATAAGGTGACATACGGTAATGACGACTCTACCGGTAGGTACAATAACGGTTTGCCGCACGGGGCCAATGCTGTTTCCGTTGATGATGGCTGGTGACGGCGCCTCTAGGTACAATGACCTTTTGTCATGAATAATTCCTTGTGATGGAGTATCATTGTACTCATTGAGTACATTTGAACACGACCCACAACCACAAAGTGCCATATGCTTGAACCACACACTGCATTTGCAGCAATTCATGCATGAACCATCTTTTACAAGGTCTACTTGTCACTTAGGTTGCTGTCACTGCTGGTGTCGCTGGTCGTGCTGCTGTCCTCACTGATGCCCAGCTTCGCTTGCAGGCATGAGCCAACCGTTACAAGGAGGTTTACTTGTCACTGGTGCTGCCGTCACTGCTCGTTTCGTCAGTGGTGCTGCTGTCCTCACTGATGCCCAGCTTCGCTTGCAGCTCCTTCACCTTGTTCTCCAGCTCATGCACCTGTGCCACTGCAGTACAAGGGGAGAGAGTGGAGAGAGGGACACACAGAGGAGAAAGGAGGAGGCATTGTGAGCATGCCTCTTGCAGCTCCTTCACCTTGTTCTCCAGTTCATGCACCTGTGCCACTGCATTGAAAAGGGAGAGAGTGGAGAGAGGGACACACAGAGGAGACAGGAGGAGGCATTGTGAGCATGCCTCGAGCAGCTCCTTCACCTTGTTCTCCAGTTCATGCACCTGTGCCACTGCATTGAAAGGGGAGAGAGTGGAGAGAGGGACACACAGAGGAGAAAGGAGGAGGCATTGTGAGCATGCCTCGAGCAGCTCCTTCACCTTGTTCTCCAGTTCATGCACCTGTGCCACTGCATTGAAAAGGGAGAGAGTGGAGAGAGGGACACACAGAGGAGACAGGAGGAGGCATTGTGAGCATGCCTCGAGCAGCTCCTTCACCTTGTTCTCCAGTTCATGCACCTGTGCCACTGCATTGAAAAGGGAGAGAGTGGAGAGAGGGACACACAGAGGAGACAGGAGGAGGCATTGTGAGCATGCCTCGAGCAGCTCCTTCACCTTGTTCTCCAGTTCATGCACCTGTGCCACTGCATTGAAAGGGGAGAGTGGCGAGAGAGGGACACAGAGGAGACAGCAGGCATTGTGAGCATGCCTTGAGGTGTCTATAACACGACTTCATCCTTTTTGTTCAAGCCTCTCAGCCAATGTGACCTGCAGAGTGTTGAGGCAAAGAGATGAAACATGAAAACAGCGAACGTATATTGGCATGCCCGAAGCACGACTTAACACTCCCATCCAGGTGAGGCACTGCTGCCGTTGAGAAGCGTTGAACAAGACCAGAAGAGCTGTGCACTTGAGGGCCATATCAGAAGACTGTGCATGGCTGTAAATCAGAAGAGGCATGGAGCACAGTGCAGCGCAAGAGTTGCGTGAAGCCCAGCAACCAATCATATCCCTACGTACAACCCAGATCACCCCTACATCCCTCTTGGGTGATCTGGTCTCGCCCCGATCACGGAACCATCTTTCTCTCTGCACCCCATCGAGCTCCCCCCGTCATCTCCAACCCACTCTGCCAACTCCCTTTTCTCTCATCTGAATCAACTCAGGTCAGAACACACATCTACTTTGTTTGAAAAAGGAATCCGCCAGCTTACTGAGTTCGCTCTTCTCCTTGTGCCGCTCAGCAGCGTTCTTCGCCGTGGTCTCCTCACACTCCCTCACCTGACTTTTGGGTTGACTCAAAAGTCAACTCCGACCGAACATGCCAAACTTACTCAGTTCGCTCTTCTCCTTGTGGCGCTCAGCAGCGTTCTTGGCGGTGGTCTCCTCACACTCGGCCATCTTCTCCTTCATCTTCTCCCCCATCGCATGCGTCGCGTCAAACTTGTTCTCCGCCTCAAACCGAAGCTTCCTCAACTTCCCCACATTCTCCTCACACTCCTCCACCTGTGAGGAGGAGGGGGGGGGGGGGGGGACGATAGGGCGTCAAACTTGTTCTCCGCCCCCAACCGCAGCTTCCTCAACTTCCCCACATTCTCCTCACACTCCTCCACCTGGGGATTGCGAGACGGAGACAAACACATGAGATTGCAAAACGGTTCTTTTAGAAATTCAAACGCAGATGACAACATGGATGTGCTCTCCGCCTCGAATCGCAGCTTCCTCAACTTTCCCACATTCTTATCACACTCCTCCACCTGGCAAGGGGAACGCAGATGACAACATGTGCATGTTTCTCGCCTCGAATCGCAGCTTCCCCACATTCTCCTCACACACCTCCACCTGGGGATTGCGAGACGGAGACAAACACAGGAGATTGCAAAACGGTTCTTTTAGAAATTCAAACACAGATGACAACATGGGATGTGCTCTCCGCCTCGAATCGCAGCTTCCTCAACTTCCCCACATTCTCCTCACACTCCTCCACCTGGCAAGGGGAACGCAGATGACAACATGTGCATGTTTCTCGCCTCGAACCGCAGCTTCCTCAACTTCCCCACATTCTCCTCACACTCCTCCACCTGGTGGTGGTGGTGGTGGTGGTGGTGGTGGTGGCGGTGGGGGAGGGGGGGAGGGGGGGTTGCAATAGGGCGGCAAACGTTGGGACGAGCGAGAGTGATGCAGATGCACGAACAAATGAGCAGCTTCCTCAGCTTCCCCACATTCTCCTCACACTCCTCCACCTGGCAAGGGAGGGAGAGGCACTCGCGCATGTGGAGAGGGAGCGATGATTGTGACTGCCCACATTCTCCTCACACTCCTTGTCTCGGTCATAGGCGCGTGCGCAGTCATCGGCGCGCAGTGAGGGAGGAGAGGGTGGGATGGGAAGGCATGAGGGATATGCGCGAGGCTTAGAGGATGCGTGGAGCAGCTTGAACAACAAAAAGGGAAAATCTAGTGTAGCAGCTGAAACGGAAAAGCCATTCCGCACGTGCTCCTCTTCCCTGGGCCAAAGGTCACTTGAGGTGAGACGGAAAGGGCACTTGAGAACTCTCTGAACAGAATTTTCTCACTGTGCCAGAACCCTCGTTGGCGCGGAGTGAGAGGAGGCAGGAATAACTCTTGAGGCGTCTCCAAAGATTGTTGAGAATTCTCGAATTTTTCTCACTGGGCCTCGTTGGCGCGCAGTCAGAGGAGGCAGGAATAACTCTTGTGGCGTCTCAAAAGGCATGCAGTCAGAGGTGACGCGAGGGGAGGGGACTTAAATCATGCGAGGGAAGCGAGGGGGAAGGGATGGGGAAAGGTATGCGTATAAAAGCGTACAACCGTCTTCCGCGCGTCATCCGCGCAGCATTCCCCCGCGCGGTGCTGGTCCTCATCCGCGCGCAGTATCCCCCCGCGCGGCGCTGGTCCTCATCAGCACGCAGCATTCCCCCCCTTAGCCTCCCCCCCCACGCGCTCCTCGTCACTCTCGCCCCTCACCTGATCGAGAGTGTTGCTTCAGTATTCGACGCGGCCGCACGCTGTGCTGCTCGTCAATCGGCGCGCAGCATTCACCCCCCTTCGCCGATCGTCATTCTCACCTTATCAAGGATCGCGTCGCAGTCCTCGGCGCGCAGCGTCGTAACCAGCAGGCTGGCGACTAGCACAAGCAGCAGCGGGAGCGCGAGAAGCGCGGGCAGGCGAGAGGCTCTCATTTCGTCGCGAGACGAGGAGAAGATCGCAAGACGCGGAACACGGATGGCGAGAACGAGGAGAGCGAAATTGGGAACGGGGGAGCTCGAGAAGGGAGGGGGAAGCAGGTAAGCAGGTAACCACAAGCAGCGGTAGCTAGCGACGATTTTCAGAAAATGCTCTGCTACCCGTCGCTTCGAGCCTGTAGAAAACTAGCAAGTGGAGACACCTCCCATTGCGAAGTGCTTGTAGGTACTCGATAAAACATTATTCGTTACACAATTAAAACCCGTGGAAATCTCCAGATGCTGCTTGCACCTGGCGATAATACTGTTTCGTCCTTATCTGGACCAATCCGCGTCGAGGTCGAGGAAAATTCTGGAACTTCAAACAGAGATGGATGGACTAGTAGCCAGCGCGCTTCAAACTAATAGTTTTGTAACCAGCTGCAGAAGTTTCAGCTGTAAACATAAAAAGTGTATGGGCTGTCAACATGAGCTCTGAGTACCTTCCGAAAGTAAAAAACACAAAACCTCCTCCATCCATCCATTGAATCGATTTTGCTACAAATTTGTTGCGCTCTTCATTTGGAAATAATAGTAACTTGAGATTTCATTAGTGCATCCTTTTATTTACAGCAGCAGCTTCATTGTTGGAAATACAAGAGGGTGTATGGTAATGTAGAGAGTATGACTTCAGGGCATGCATAGGGGAGTGCTTGCGCATACATGAGGGTTCCTTTAGTTACTCAATGCTTGTGACGCCATTACTTGTTGGTCTGATGCTCATGGTATCCCAGATAGAATGAGATACCGGCACCTATAAAAGCTCAGAAGATCCTCCAGGGGAGGCCAGGGAGCAACCATGCTGCCACTCTGGGTGTTTGCACGACGCTTGGTGCAGCAGTAGGGTGGTTTCCAGCGCGGTCACCCTGCGCTGCAAGGCGTCGACATACGCGACTGCTTTGTGGAGCATGTTGGCGGTATCCCCATGCCCGCGCACCACCAGGCGCAACTTCTGCAGCCCCTCGCTGATCCGCTCCCGCCTCTGCCTCTCCGCCATGCTCCGCGCCTTGATGCGTCCTCCTGCCATCTGCCAGTCCTTGCGCCCTCGGTTGCGCGGCATCCAATCGTCCGCATTATCTGCCGCCCCATTCGCGCCTCTGCGCATAGGACTTCCACCAAAGCCGGCCATGTCATCATCTGAGTTGTCATAGTAGTTCATCATGCAAGCTGCTGCTTCTGGCGCGGTGGCTAGTGACACAGGCGCAGCGGAAGGTGCAGCGGGAGCCGCACCTTTGGCGATGGGCAGACGAAAGGGCATCTGCAGCGGGCCATGATGGGCGAGCGTCCTGCTGACGAGATTGGCGGCATGCGTAGTAACCAATGAAAGCCGTGCAACCGCGGGAGGCGCGGGAGCGGTAAAACCGGCGGCGGATGCGGGGCGTGACGGCTCGCTGCCTAGCACGTCACTGTCAAAGATATGCATATGTTATATTTGTGGGTAGGCTGTAGTGGGGGAGATACTGTGGGGTATAACCCCTTAGGGTTTTCTCCTTGTACCAATTCTCTCGATAGTAAACTTCATTGATGCCTAGATTCTAAGATGGTATCTAGAGCCTAGAGGTCTTTAGGACCTAAGATTAGGGCCCACCCGTTACCACGTTACCTCACTTGCCTGCTTGCCTTGCCTGCTGCCCGCGCGCGCCTCAGCTGCACGCGCGCGGCCCCTTTTTTTTTCCCGCGCGCGCGCGTTTAGGCCCGTTTTTGGCCCCGCGCGCCACGTCAGCCGCCCGCGCAGCCTGCCGCCGGCCCGCGCGCTGCGTAAGCCGCCCGCGCGCAGCCCGCTTAGGCCCTGCACGCCGCGTCCGCCGCCCGCGTAACCCGTTTTCGGCCCCGCGCGCCACGTCAGCCGCCCGCGCAGCCTGTCGCCGGCCCCGCGCGTCGCCTCCTCCGGTGTGCAGCCCGCAACTGCTCCGCGCGCCGCCTTAGGAGCCAGCGCGTGGCCTACTGCTGCACCGTGCCCCGCCTTAGGAGCCCGTGTGCGGCCCGCTGCTGCACCGCGCGCCGCTTTAGAGGCCCACGCGCGGCCCACTGCTGCCCTCCGTGCTGCCTTAGGAGTCCGTGCACCGCCACTGCAGTCCGTGCGCCGCCACTGCAGCCTTGCACGCAGTCTCTCCTTGCTTGCCTTTTGCCTTGCCGCCTGCGCACTAGACTTGCCTACGCTGCACGCATGGCGACTCTCAACGTGCTCGCGTTCGATCCTGACGGTCGCCCAGTAGAGTTTACCACCTGGCTTGACGACCTGCAACTGTTCCTTCTGACTGATGCCAAGGACGGTGTTTCCCTGTACGATTACGTGTCTGGCACTGCCGTTGCTTCTGCTGACACTGCGCCTGCTCTAGATCGCTCCCAGTGGCAAACCGGCGATGCTGCTGCGCACCTCGCTATTCGCAACCATCTTCCGATCACAGAGCGCGCGCATTTTAGCCAGCACAAGACTGCCAAGGCGCTGTACGACGCTGTAGTTGCCCGCTACTCTTCCCCAGCCACTGCAGCCCTCGGTCGACTTATGCTACCCTACCTGTTCCCCGACCTGTCCTCGTTTACCACCGCCGAGGACCTCATCTCTCACCTACGCGCTAGTGACACTCGCCTTCGTGCCACCCTTCCAGCCGAGTTCCTCGCAGAGAACCACCCCCCGATGTACTTTACTCTCTACTTCCTCATCACCCGCCTCCCTGACACTCTTCGCTCAGTCAGGGACCACTTCCTCGCCCTTGACCCCCATTCTCTCACTGTCGACGACCTCGAGAAGCACCTCCTAGCAGCCGAGAAGAACATTCTAGCTGTAGGTGCTGCTCGTGGCACTCCCCACACTCCCCTCTTTGAGGGGTGCTCCCCCTCCCCTCTCACCCCTTCCTACGCCTCCGCAGCTGCTGCTGTTGACCTCCTTGGTGCTGAGAAGGTCGCAGCTGCTTCCGCTCCGAGTGGGAAGCGCAGCGGCTTCAAGGGAGGCAAGGGTGGCAGGGGTGGCGGACGTGGCGGTGGAGGGGGCGGTGGTGGAGGCGGCGGGGGCGGTGGAGGTGGTGGCGGTGGTCGTGGGGGTGGAGGTAGTGGTGGGGGCGGTGGTGGTGCCGGGAGCGGTGGCGGTGGCAGCGGCGGGGGTGGTGGAGGGGGGAGTGGTGGTGGCGGCGGTGGTGGGGGCTTGGGTGAGGCCGGTGGTGGCCAGGGACAGCAGCAGCAGCAGCAGCAGCAGCGGCAGCGTCAGCGCCAGACCCCCACTTCCCAGCAGCAGCAGCGTCAGCGCCAGACCCCCACTTCCCAGCAGCTTCTTGACTGGTATGCTGGGCGTGGGGCGTCTTGGGGTCCTGGTCGCTGCCCCTATATCATTCGCATAGGTCCCCGCGCTGGTCGCCAGTGCACAGGGTTTCACACTGAGTACCGCTGCTTCGCTCGGCTTAGCGACGCCTGGCGCGTCAAGTTTCCTGATGCTACTGAGTTCCCCAACTGGGCAGACCTGCTTAGGCGTGATGTACCTATCTTTGATCTTGACTATGAGACTATTCTTGCTGCCATGTATGCATTGACTGTTAGTGCTGAGGGTGACTGCTACTTGTGTGTGCCGCCTGACCCCGGTATAGCCCCAGGTATAGCGCCTGTGGCACTAGGTGCTTGTGAGTCTGTTCCCCCTGGTACTGCATCCGCACAGGCCTTGCACACCTTCACACTTGACTCTGGTGCTTCCCGCTGTTTCTTTCGCGACATCACCACAGTCACTCCCCTCCCTGCACCTGTTCCTGTCTCACTGGCTGACCCCTCTGGGGGCCCAGTGCTTGCACGGTCTTCCACTGTGCTTCCGTGTCCAGCGGTCCCGTCTGGTGAGCTGTCTGGTCTCCACCTCCCCTCGTTCTCTACAAACTTGGTGAGCAACGCCGTCCTTCAGGATCACTGGGTTGACACCTTTACTCCTGGGGGACAGCGTGTGGCGATCTGCACGTGCTCCCGGACCGGCCGTCACCTGGCCACGTTCACACGTGCGCCTGGGTCCAATCCATACACCCTCACCACTGCGTTGCACTCCACCCCTTTGTCTCCCCAACTGTACGCGTCTGCTCAGGTAGCTACCCAGTGTGAGTGTCACCGACTGTCGCACGACACTCTCCTGTGGCACCACCGCCTTGGTCACCCCTCCCTGCCTCGCCTTCGTAGCATGCACTCTCGCTTCCTGGTCTCTGGCCTTCCCAGGTCTCTCCCTGCCCTCCCTCCCTCGCCTACGCCGCCCTGCATTCCTTGGGTCGAGGGGCGGCAGCGCGCCGCTCCTCACTCCTCCTCGTTCCCTCCCACAGAGGCTCCACTGCAGACTCTCCACCTGGACGTGTGGGGCCCAGCCCGCGTCCGTGGACAGGGCCATGAGCGGTACTTCCTGCTGGTCGTCGACGACTACACGCGTTACACCATGGTCTTCCCCTTGCAGCGCAAAGGGGAGGTCCCTGATGTTTTGATCCCCTGGATCCGCGCTGTTCGTCTCCAGCTCCGCGAGCGGTTCCACTCGGACTTTCCTGTCCTGCGTCTGCACTCTGACAGGGGTGGTGAGTTCTCCTCATACCTCTTGGCAGCCTTCTGTGCGGAGCACGGCATCCGCCAGACGTTCACACTTCCGGCCTCTCCGCAGCAGAATGGGGTTGCTGAGCGCCGCATTGGCTTAGTCATGGAGGTCGCTCGTACCTCCATGATCCATGCGGCTGCCCCCCATTTTCTGTGGCCGTTTGCGGTCCGGTACGCCGCGCATCAGCTCAACCTCTGGCCCCGTGTCTCCTTGCCGGAGACCTCGCCCACACTGCTGTGGACGGGGAAGGTTGGCGATGCGTCGCGTTTCCGGGTCTGGGGTGCTCGTGACTTTGTCCGCTATACCACCGCGGACAAGCTCTCCGCTCGCGCCATTCCCTGCGTCTTCCTTGGCTTTGTCCCTGACGCGCCTGGCTGGCAGTTTTACGACCCCGCCTCGCGCCGTGTCTTTCCGTCTCAGGACGTCACCTTTGACGAGTCCGTCCCCTTTTACCGTCTCTTTCCCTACCGCACTGCCCCTCGCCCCCCCCCGCCGCTCTTTCTTGCCCCAGGTCCTCACCAAGTAGACCCCCTCCCCGCGCCAGGTCCTGCTGTGAGAATAACACGAGGAATGAATGAACTAGAAATGAGTTGGGTACAAATAGGGAAACCTAGAAATGCTGTACCCCCTATTGTCTAACCCACTACAGCCTAAACAGGCTATAACATATGTTTGACACACCCCCATAGGCAAAGTGGGGGAGAACAAGAGGTCACAAGACCAGTCAAGAAAAGCAAAGCAAGCTCAGGGTGGATCTCAAGGATACCACACAAATTCCGAGCACAAGCAAGCGGTCACAAGACCAGGTCACATGCAGTTTGATAATACAACAAGAAGTACAGTGATCACAACCTAGCAAGTCTAAACATGCAGGTAGACATATATAAGGATCACAGTACAAGCAGAGTCAAGAAGTAAGCAAGTGAGGCAAAGTAGGCACAAGGCCTAGAACAGTACAGAAACGCTGATGATCACAAGGCTGAAGCGCCTTGGTGAACACATCAGCAGTGTTGGCTCGAGTGGCCACGTAAGCAAGACGAAGCTGACCACGCTGCCGCAACTCTCGAGCAAGGAAGTAGCGCAGAGCAATGTGCTTCGTTCTGTGCTCCAGTCTGTGCTCTTGACACAAGGCAATCATGGCCTTGTTGTCGACGTACAGCAATGGAGGAGAACGAGGCGGCTCTCCAAGGTCCGTCAGCAGGTAGGTGAGCCAGCGTAACTCCTGAGCAGCCATGGCCCCTGCGTAGATCTCAGCCTCACAATTGGAACTGAGAACAGAAGACGAGCGGATAGACCGCCAAGAAACAGAGCCGGAGCCAAGGCTGAAGGTGTAACCCTGTGACGACCGCTGCGTAGCCAAGTCGTCAACCCAAGAAGCGTCTGCGTGACCAGTGAGGACAACTCGAGCCCGTCCTCCAAGCACGAGCCCCATGCCTGACGTACTGCACAAGTAGCGCAGTACCCTCTTAGCAGCATCCATGTGCTCCTTCCTGTGTCGGCCAGGAGCAACATAGCGTGCTAGGATGCTAAGAGGGTAGGCTAGGTCAGGTCGAGTGCAGGTCATCAGGTACATGAGGCAGCCCACAAGCTCTGGATACGGGCCACTTGGCTCTACGGATTCATCCGAAGTCAGAGCTGAGAGCGAGTGACCGGTAGGCAGAGGAGTGGACTGTGGCGAGGAGTACGTGAAGCCGAAGCGTTGAAGGACCTTCTGC